TCCTATGAGAGTGGTTCTTAAGTCAAAATGTTCATAACTCAAGCCGTTCTTAAGTCAAGACCCCACTGTATGTGCCTACAGTTTTTTCCTTAAAACTGTAAGATTTTCTTTGATATTTTTTGGATTTGGACTTATATTTAAGTATGCAACCTAGAATTGATGTAAATAAATAGAAGCTGTACAGATCTAACAAGTTCTGGAATTGTCTGGAATTACTGCAACAAAAAGGAAGTATAATGAGGTACCCATATGAGCTTGGAAAGTTTGTCACTGATTGTTCAGTTTCATTCTGGGATTAACCCTTTACTGAGATAATGTCCGCTATAACGAATCCTAAATCTGATCCTTGTCTGGGAGGTCTATATATCTCGGTAGGACTCCTGGGTGAGTCAGTTATCCTTATCAGGTCCTGACAGGGAGATACAATAGCACTTTTTAAATACCTGAAAGGGTGTTATACAGAGGAGGGGCAAGATCTGTTCTCGATCACCCTAGAGTGCAGGGCATGTAATAATGAGCTCAAGCTATAGGAAGCCAGACTTAGGCTGAATACAGTAAGGCCACCGTATCCATGGGGGACTGATACCAAGCACCCCATGGATACTGAAAACCAAGGAAAGTAGCAAACACATAGATATAGCAGCATCCATGTATTGTCACTCAGCAACAATAATTATTTAAAGAAAAAAAAGCACATCCCACCCTCTGAGTTTAGTTGCTCCAGCAAGCCCTGCCACTGCCACCGGCTTAGCTTCACAAACAGGCCCTTCCAAAGCAAGGTGACAGCAGCAACTCTCTCTTCCCCCGCCACCCCAAGCCCAGAGAATGAAGTGAGAAGATTCACTTTTTTGTGGCTGTGAATGTTCTTGTCTGAAATCTTTAGAGGGGGCAGCCAGTCTGGATCAGTTGGGGGAGACTGGTAATGGATGGGGAGGGGTGGGGAGCAGACAATAGAAGCAGGGAAAGGGTGGGAGCCATTGGGTCCTTCTCTATCTCCCTTCCCCATGGGTGTTGGAGCTCCACATCTCAACCTAGGGAGCACAGCTCCCACCCTGGAGCCACTGCCCCTTTTCTCCTGTTCCTAGTGTGACCATGGCCACTGCAGTTTGTTGGACTGGAGCACCCATACTTCACCCTGCCTTACCCTGGCTGAGGGCCAACCTCACCCATGCCTGGGAAACCCTGAGCAAGAGGGAAGAAACAACAAAAATCCCATCCCCTGTTGGCCCAGAGGGGAGTGTTTTTCAGCCTCCCACCTGGCCCAGGCATCCTGAAAACCTGGCATGGACCAAGGGATTGATCTGTAGTACCATGAGATTTCACCAGTCATCCATGGTTAAGTGAAACCACGGGTACTGATTCAGAGGATACAGAGGTCCTACTGTATCAGCGAAAACTTCTTAACAGTTAGAGCAGTATGACAAAAGAACTGGGGAGGTGGTAAGCACTGCAACACTGGAGTCATTGGATTCCTGCATTGAGCAGGGGGTTAGACTTGATGGTCTTATAGCCCCATCCAACACAATTATTCTATGGTGTATGATTTTGGACACTGCATTGGATATGGCTTGAACAAGATGACCAGATGAAAAAGAGGACAGAATTCCTACATCTTTAAAAACTGTAGGGAAAAAGCAATTTTAGCAGTTAAAGCTTGCCACTATTAAACTTACAAAAGTCCTGTCCTTTTTTTTATAAGGTCACTGTAAACTTGCAGCACAAATTATAAACTACATTGAGAAACAATTAAAAATTAAGACAGCTCCACTGAGCATAATGAAACTTTATCTTAAGTAAGTAGTACAGGACTCCAATCCTTATTTATTTAAGATATTTTCACCTCACCTTTCTTCTAAAAATTCTATATCCAATTATTCATTTATCTGATAGTAAACTCACTGATCAGGCTACTTCTGAATAGATATATGGAGAATAACATAACGAAAACACACCATTAAACAATGCAATCCTATATACATCTACAAAATGTACTGCTGATTTCAATGAAATTTCCTCTCAGACAAGTGGGAATGTATGTTTCCAACCAACCATAATTTGGAAGTGATTTTTTGGAACCTGATGATATGGAGGTTAAGCTTTGTTTAACTTTATAACCTACATGTTTCTAAAGCAAAAATCTACTTCTACTTAAATCATCCTGGTCCATTTTTTTTCTTTAAATCCTCAATTTTACTGAACTAAGAAAACAACATCTGGATGCGTAAAAGCATTTTAGATCTTTATTTTCTACACCAAGTCTGAAAAAGATTTCTATGAAATGAGAATGTGTGTTTTGCAGCATTTTGAACTTGCAGTCTATTAAAAGTGTTTACATCGTACTTGCACTGCACTTCAGGCATCACATTTTCTGATCATAAAAATGCAATATCTAACACCACAAGAGGGAGCTCTTCTATCATTAATAAAAATAGCATAATAAAAAGAATCTTGTAGAAAAGTGGTGGGATATGAATAGTTCTGAGATTCTTTTCCAGTTATAAAAAACAGGTAAATAACTGATCTTTGCACAATATCCCTTATACACTCATACAGACATACTGGCCAGAATCCTAATGAACAGCTTTGTGACTGCATCATCCACCACAGCCATTTGGGATAAATGAAAATCTTCCTATTTCCCCCCCACACACACACACACACATAATGTTATGGAGAGCCCCAGGGATCCCTTTCATCCTTGGGAAGTATTTGGGAGCAGTGGAGGGGGGGGACCAAGACTGCTGACTGTGATGTTCAAACATTAAAATATTTCCTCCTCCATTCAATGGTCCACAAAGGCTTCCTCAGGACAAAGGAGAGCTTAGGGATCCCCACGGTAGGGTATAGCAATCTTTCACTTCCCCCCAAATGGATGTGGCTGATCACATAATCATGTCTCCATGGCATAAAGATGCAGAACAGGACTCCAGCCACAAAGTCATATTTGTCTCCGAAGAGTTTCTGAATATTTTACCGGTAATTCAAAGATCTGCAATCTGTATGGGTCACTTCTAAGATCATAAAAGGGAGAGAAAGCAGGAGTACCATGTTTAGATCAAGTTCCAAGACCTAATGATAATGAACCTTATGTGCAGATGTGAATGGTTTTGTTGTTGTTGTTTAGTTGTATCCGACTCTTCATGACCCCATGGACCAGAGCACGCCAGACCCTCCTGTCTTCCACTGCCTCCCAGAGTTGGGTCAAATTCATGTTGGTAGCTTCGATGACACTATCCAACCATCTCATCCTCTGTCGTCCCCTTCTCCTCCTGCCTTCACACTTTTCTAACATCAGTGTCTTTTCCAGGGAATAGTTTTAGAGAAGGGAAAAGCAAAACCAGTCTAGTCTCCACATCTGGAGTGGGGAACCTTTTGGAGATACAAACAAGTCTTATTACCATAAGTGAAAGAGTGTGTCCACATTTCTGATATTAGAATGTGGCAATTCCCTCTTGGAAGCTACAAAGGAAATAGAAATGAAATTGAGCAACCCATTTTATCCTCAATGAAATGACAAACTGTGTGCAAAGACACATCTGTTGTTATGTCTAACTAGTAAAAGAAATGCTTTCCTATAAACTGAGACAGGAACACTTGGAAAAGGGTTGGCTCAGTACTCCACAGGTTCCATCTAAAAAGCTTTACAAAAAGAATACTGTTTCAAATTCCAGCACAACTGGATTCAGAAATAAAAGAAAGGGATGGGGAAGGTTTATGCATAAGTCTACCACATGGAATAGACTGAGTAAATGTGTGTGTGTTTTAAAGCTCATACTAAAATAAATCAGTAAGTCTTGATGCAACAGCCCAAAACTCTTTCATATCACTTTGGCATTTATGTGGGTTTTTTAAAAAAATTCAGTAGCTTAGGTCTTTGGCTGCGGTGCCAGAGGTTGGAAGTTCAATTCTCCACTGTTTCTCCTTAACAGGGCCTGGACTTGATGATCCATAAGGTCCCTTCCAGCTTTGTAGTTCTAAGATTATTTACCAACTCGAACAGCTTCAAATTCATGCACTATTTGCATGTGCTCATGCCATGGGGGCTTTATAAGGTCAACAGTGACATTATCCCCCTTTGTTTCAGTTGCAGCCTCTCAGATATAGGAGCACCTTGCTCAACTGAGCTGGCTATAGGCAAAAGCTGAGCATAAGGTAGCAATGAAGCATGCAGCACTATTCCCACGCTACACTTCCACTACCTGAGGCATGAATAGAAGCACTGCCACATGTGTTGGAATGACAGCAAATCTCCCCAACATTCCCTGCACCACCACAGATGGGCTGTTGTTGTTTTCGTCAAATCACCCCTCCCAAGTGTCTTGGCTCCAACAAGCAGACACCACTGACACAACTGCCAGGACCATGAGGGATGAGGTGAGAAGCTGGCCATTTCCCAAAACTGATGAAGCATCTATGTCATCCAGTCTCATGTCAGTTCTGCCCCCTTTTAGTTGCATTATTTGGTTATGCCACCTGTGAACTTCCTTGGGGCCTCTGACTGGTTAAAACAGGGTTCAAATTTATCAATTAAAATATTACAATCTTCTCTATCAGAAGGACAGCCATGGTGGTCTGCAATATATTAGAAACCAACTGCTGATCACAAGTGTTTTGTATAAGCAACTGGTGCACATAATGCTATTCAATCAAAATAAGTTTATCTTGATTAATACTCAAGACTTCTGGTTCAAAAAGTGTAATTGCAAGCAGCAGAACTATAAGCACTGATCCCAGACATAAAATTTCACTTGGAATGGAGAGATGTTGTCCAAAAGTGCCGGGCAGTTTCGTTTAAGAAAAGTTCAAAAACTACTGTTTTAACAGAAGGCATTTCTGAAGGGGAGCAGAGCATCTTTGCAGGCTTTCGATCTGAGTGGCCCTCAAATCACCATGCTCCCACCTCAGCAAATTACCACAACTCAGAAAGCGTCCCTGAAACCTTGACCCTCAGGTCGGAAAGAACAATGGAGGAAGTGAGGCCGGCGAGAGCTCTTTTTTACCTGAGGTGAGTCCCTGAAGCAAGGACAACGCCAGAACTAGCAGGCGGCCGCAAGAGACGGAGGGGAGCCCTGGTCTCCTCCGTCGTCCCCGGCGCCGCATACCCGCACGCCCACAAACTCTGTGCCGTCTGCCGGCGTGCCCGCCCTCGCCCTCCTCCTCTCTTCTTTTCTCTTTTTTTTTCCACGCGGGACTTTCAGAGTCTGTTCGTTACCACCTCGGCCTCGAACGCGCCCCGTCACAAAGCCGGAGGGGCGGGACAGAAGAACTAGAAGGGAGCGACGGCGCGCGCGAGCGGGGGCGTGGCGCTGAGGCAGCGCGTGGATAATTCCCCCGCGCGCCGACTCTCCGTCCTATGAAGTAGCAGGCAGTCCCCTGTCGCGCTTGCGCGTTTGCCGGCGGTGGCTTGTTTTCTCTGTTGTCTTCTTGTCTTGGGCGCCGGAGAACTAAGTTACCCTGATAAAGAAATAAAAAGCGAAACGAGACGCGCCTGAATGAAGTTTCTTCAGATTTTTCATTTGGCGTTCTTACTGCCCCACGACATTGTTATTGCTGCTACAACTGGCATAGCGGAGTCTGGCTTGTTCCCTTGCTTAGCAGTCATCTGCTGTACATCTTGCTGCCTGAAGTAAAAACTTGCCACTTGCCCTCTTTTAATGTGACTGATTTTCGACTGTCGGGTCTTTTATTTCAGTGGGAAATAACGGAGCATTAGAACAATACGCCACCCTATTTTATTATTTTAGACCCTAAATTCTTGAGCATACCTACTTAGAAATTAGCACTACTGAGTTCAATGGGAATTTTGGAGAGGTAAATAAATAGACACCATTGGATAGACTGACGCTCCAGGATTAAGGAGATCTTGGTTCAAATCCCTGCTCAGCCATAGAAATTGGCGGGGGAGGGGGGGCTTATTTGGAACTGGCAAAATCATGTCTTAAATACTGTATCTCACATTGAAAGCCCTGTTAGGATCCCTTTAAGCCAGTTCTGATTTGATGGCACATAAGGAGATAAAGGGCTTGCCGCTTCAGTTTCTTCTATAGCCATACCAGCTTTTGACATGATTAAAAAAATAAAACAGTAATATGCACAGTACCTCTTTTTATTTATTTATTTTAAAAAATGCAGTCTTGAAACTGAAAACACAAATAACAAAACCTGGTTCCAAACAGTGTCAGGATTTTACCACCACAAACAATACATGCAAACTTTTCATGGTACATTTTCTGTTCCCCAGAAACAAAGACACGAAAATGTATACAGGCGGCAAGCCTACAAGAAAGATACCAGCACTGGGTGGTAGGATTCTGAACAGCAGTTTGTGGAAGAATTTTAATGAACTAGGTATTTTAAAACAATTACCGGTATCTAAGCAGAAATATTATTTAAAGTGGTTTGGCCCTAAGCCCGCTTAAACAACGGTTCTTTCTAGAAACCAATCTTTGCAGTCTAACTAATACACGTCTGATGAAGTGGGTGATCCTGTTGCACAAAAGGTTGCAGATTGTATTATGAATTTTGGTGGGGTCTATAAGGGTATCTCCTGTACTTTGCACTTGCATTATGTAATGACCGTATGGCTTCCTTTTATTTTAATTGAATTACAAAGATGCCAAGAAATAGCTGCTGCGGCCTGTTACAAACAGCTATGATGTCACCTGTCCTTCAAGGTTTAGGCTGGAGTGTTAACATCCAATGGTGGTCGGAAGGCGGGACATGAGGGGGAGGAGCTGGGATATATAGGGGGGTGAATGTGTGTGAGGGGCAGATCAGGATCGGTGAGTGTTGAGATGAGATAGTGATCAGATTGTGTGGAGATATTAGTCTGTGTGAGCTAGAGCCTTTCTTTATGTGATTACCTGATTTATTTGTTATACCAATCTTAATGTACCAATCAATAAACTTTAGTTATTTTGTTTGAAATCCATTCCGGCCTGAAGATACTTATTGCAGGGGATGGTTGGTGGCAGACTACCAGAAGAGTAACAGGGGAGTGACGTAGCGACCTTCCTTGGTGAGGTAGAAGGAGGCCGTTACACGGCCCTTCCCCCCCCCATACCAACAAGACACATGGACTCTCAACATCAGTGGAGCAAGATGGCAACCACTAAGTAATGTTATTTTGACTTGAATCTGACCCCAATTGGCTAAACCTAGTGAGTTTATTAAATTATCACTACAATTCCCAAATGGAGGACTGGGGTTTTCTGTGTCACCTCCCCACCTCCAGTCAAGCAAGAACATGTCAATTTCAAAGAAAAAACAAATGGGAAGGGGGTGTGTGCATGACCCATGCCTCTTTGTGTGTAATATCCAAACCACAGCTGCCTCAGCTATAACTTTAAAACAACAGCTCTAATGTGGCCTGCATCTTTCCTGACTTACATCTAAGAAAGGGATGCCTGGCAAAATCCAGGTAAGAACTTTTGGACTTGTAACTTTCCTGGCAAAATCCATCTTCCCATGAGCTTTTGGACTTTATGTTCTTCACTCTGGTAAGCATCTGATGAAGTGGATGGTCCTGATCCACAAAAGCTTGCAGAACGTATGATGATTTTTTCAGTGGTCTATAAAGATATCACCTACTCTTGCATTTGTCTTTCATATTGCTTAGCTTATATATTTGAACATGAAAAACAAAAACAAGTATTCTAGAAACACCCTAAGATTCATGGACTCTTTCATCATCAATGTCTTAAAACATTGCTTCTGGAACTTTAGAACTGAGGAAAGCCAGGAAAATAAAACATAAAGTATAAAATGCTGTATGTGGGGGATCAGATGCAGAAATAAATGATGGGTAAAAGCTGGCTTGCAAATATTACATTTGAAAAGAGTCTAGGGGTCTTAATAGATCACAAGCTAAAATGAGGCAAGAGTGCGATGCAGCACCAAAGAAAACAAATGTTATACTATCAATAGAAGTATAATGTCCAGATCAAGGACATTAACAGTACCACTGTATTCTGGTTTCATTATACCTCACCTAAAGCACTATATCTGGTTTTGGGCACCACAGTTTGAAAAAGGTATTGAGAAATTGAAATGTGTCCAGAATAGTGTTGCAAGAATGGTAAGAAGTTTGGAAACCAACCTATGCAGAAATGTTGAGGGAACATAACAAATTTAGCCTAGAGAAAAGGCTATCACATGGAAGATGGGGCAGTCTTGTTTTTTGCAGCTGAGGCCAGAAAGACCAGAAGAAATGGATTCAAGAATTATGAAAGGAGATTTTCAATAAATGTTTGAAAGACCTTCCTAATACAGTGGTGCCTCGCAAGACAAATGCCTCACAGGACAAAAAAACTCGCAAGACAAATGATTTTGGCATTGGGCGGGGGGGAGAAGGGGTTTGATGACTCGCAAAACAAATGTTCCTATGCCCATGCTTCGCAAGACAAATGTTTTCTGTTTTTTGTTCCTGCCTCATGTTTGCTGATTTTTAAATGTTTTTCTATTATATTTAAAAAGTTAAAGTTTTTTGACTGAAATTTTTTAAATCATCTGCACAATATGTATGGCTTTAAAGAGCACTTAATAAACCCTTTGTAAACCACATTTGACTTTGTTTTGACTTTTTTTGCCCATAGGAACGCATTAATTAGATTTCAATGCATTCCTATGGGAAAACACGTTTCGCAAGATGAATTTTTTGCAAGACAACATTAACCGCAGAATGAATTAAATTCGTCTTGCGAGGCACCACTGTATGGTGAGAGACATTCAGCAATGTAATCAGCTTTCTCAGAGGGTGGTGGACTCTTCTTCACTGGTGATTTTTAAGCAGAGGTTGGATGGCCATCTGACAATGATACTTTAGGATTTCCCATACTTCCAATATTACAATTCTATGATTTTATAATTATGTGAAAGTGATTTATTATTCTGAAACTTGATGTTAACTGTTTTGTGCTGTCAAAGGCAAGCTAAATCTTTAATAAATTTTGAAATTCCACAGAAGCAACAGTAGAAGATATGTTAAGCTCAGAAAAGGATTCCTTCATAAATCAAAAAGATCACCAGTGTTTTGTTCTAGATTCAAATATAGCACTGTAACTTTCATTGTGTATTCATGTTCCATTGTCACTAAGCAACAAGGAGACTCTTCTCTCTTCGGGCAGCTTCATTGTTTGCTGGTTTGTTATTTCCTGTATTTCTCCATTCATTTTCATGCACAAAAGAAAACTGTTCCAGCTTTTTAGCTGTACTTTTTGGTAGGTGAATTTAATGAGACTTGCTAGATAGGATCAGAAAACAACTGACTGGAGTCTCTGAATTAACTGATTGGAAGGAATACAGGACCAGGATATAGCCATGGTTTCTCAGGTCACTGCAGTACAGTTTAGTCCTCCTAAACATGTACATCAACCTATTGATTCACTTCACAAGATGCATCGGAAGCAGCATGAAAGTCTGTTAAAGAGAATGTATATGCCTTTTGTGAGAGGACCTGAAGATAGACATTCTTTTGTCAGTTTCTGTGACAAATACAGCAATGCTTTTCTCAAGACAAATCCTTTTCTTCCTCCTGAAGATAAAAAATATCCTTTAGCTCCTCACCGGGATGATGTGCCAATAATTAACCCTTGCTCAGGGTCTGTTAGCCCAGGGGCTAGTGCTGAAGCGGATCAGCAAATCCCATATCGCAAAATTGTGGAATCTTGGGGAGATGGCAGAGATGTGCAACCTCAGCATGGGGAACCTGTTCCACACTATAGAACTCAGACTGCCAACAGAAGACCCTCATTGCTATTAGAAAGGGGAAAGCAGAATCAACAATGGAACAGCAGAGCAGTGCCAGATGTTTGTTTGAGAGCCAGAATTGGAGGTAAGTTGCATTACCATTGTGATTGCTATGTTTTCTGATGGCAAGGCATACAATGACATTTTAATACAAGTCCTTCTCCTAAAACACAGCAAAACAGAAAGCATGTAAGCGGTAAAATATATAATGCAGAATTTCATGCAAGTGTTATCATCCATAGTTGTAGATTACATTTTTCCCTTTTTAGTTAATCCAATTTCACTTAACTTGTAATTGGTTTATATGTTTAAACTGTATGGAAATTTTAACTGGAATTTTACTGTTAGGCACATAACTGGTTTTTCAAAAGGGCAGGATATACATTTAATGAATAATAAATAAATTTCCCCCTACATTCGCTCCTTTGCATTAAAAAGAGATTACAGTGGGAATCTGGCATTCATCTTTTTTTCTGGTTGGACAGTTTCCTTTTTAAAATAACGTATTTTAATTCTTACAATTTGTGAGACAATTGAGGAAGGGATAAAATCTTATATCCTACCACAGACAGTGACTTAGATAGGTTTCGTTCCCAATTCCTCTAAAAATATTTCTTAAGTGTCCCCAATTCAGTTTCATAGTTTTATTCCTTATCTACCTCTCTCATGGTTCTGTACAGCAGTGGTCCCCAACCTTTTTAACATAGCAGACTGTTTGGGGAATGTGGGGGCACCCCCGTGCTCGCACGCATGTGTGAAGAGTGGGGGCATGCTCGCATGGGTGTGTGTGCACAAAGGAGCGGGGGGTGCTTTGCTGGTGCACACACACTTGTGCAAATGCACGAAGGGCAGGAGCTGCTCAGTGGGCACTCACACATGTGCAAAGGGGCGGGGGAGTGCTCACATGGAGGGGTGCGTGAGGGGTACGTGAGGGGTGGGAGGGAGATCTGTCTCCATGGCACAGTTCAGCCCAGGCCACGGACTGGCACCGGGCCACGGACCAGGGGTTGGGGACCCCCTGCTGTACAGCTATATTTTTCAATATGTATTTCTCATGCAGTTCATGTGAAATTTTAAATCAGATAACAAAACAGCAACATATTAACACAGCCCAAATTAGATACTGTAAAAATATAAGCCTCCAGGTTCTGTGCACCAACATACGCTACTTGCAAAAATAAGGTCCTACAAGTCTTCACCCAAAATGTGTCAGGAATTAAATTTCAGGACAACAGGTGCAAAGAAAGCAACCCCAGAGGTAAACTCTTTAAAAAATATATACATAGTACCATTTCAAGGATTTGCCCTTCCATTGCCTCTCCTGCACACATGTACTGAAAATCTGCTTTCTCAATCAAGGTGACCCTGATTCCTGCTCTGAAGAAATATTGGCCCCTCTCCCTCCTAGCTCTTCCTCTTGCTAAACTGAAACTTTACAATCACAGCCCCTTCCTAAGGATTTTCTCCATCAACAGAACTGAACCAAATAGTCTCCAGGTGCGACTCACTCTTTCATACGAAAGAGTGCTATCATTCTGTCCTAACAGATAAAGTAAAACACTACATTTAGGTTATTTTTATGTAGAGATTAAATGCCAGCACCCCTCCCTGGACAATAGTTTTCACTAAAGGAAGGTCAAAGTTGTTTCTGAAATATATCTCCACCTCCTTATCTTCCTAATAAGCAAGAATTTGCTAATTATCTGTCTACATTTGCTAATTATCTGTCTTGGGGCATGGTGGAGCTGTGGGCTAAACCGCAGCGGCCTGTGCTGCAAGGTCAGAAGACTAAGCAGTCGTAAGATCGAATCCATGCGACGGAGTGAGCGCCCGTCACTTGTCCCAGCTCCCGCCAACCTAGCGGTTCGAAAGCATATAAATGCGAGTAGATTAATAGGGACCACCTCGGTGGGAAGGTAACAGCGTTCCGTGTCTAAGTCGCACTGGCCATGTGACCACGGAAGATTGTCTTCGGACAAAATGCTGGCTCTATGGCTTGGAAACGGGGATGAGCACCACCCTGTCGAACATGACTGGACAAAAAAATTGTCAAGGGGAACCTTTACCTTTTTACCTGTCTACATTATATGAGATGGTGTAGAGCAGATGGGCAAATTCCAGAGGCCTGGAGCTTCAAATATTCTTGGTGAATTGCATCCCTAACATTTCTCTAAATTTTGGCTCTAGAAGGTGAGAGGAGGCAAGTCACTAGGACTGTTCTAGAGGTGCTTTTTGGTTGCAGGGAGATTTTTTTTTATCCCCCCAAATCAGATAAAATTGGTGATAGCAAGAATGCTGGGGGATGGGGGTCCCAATTCCAGATTCTTATTAAAGCAAAGGAAAAAAGTCAATGGCAAGTTCATTTTAATGTGGAAGACCAAAAGTGAACTACATCCCACATTTACCGGGGTTTACTACAGTGATGATGGATAACACCGTGCCTAGGAACTCAAAAACTTCTCCCAGCTTTTCTGTACAAACACTAAAAAAATGGAGGAAATGTTTTGGCTAAAAAGTCCCCTTGGCTTTTTAATCAGGGGGCAAGTTTTGCTTATTTTGAGGAGGCTGTAGCACCCCTGTACTTAATTCTCTTTTTAAAGATTTATCAACTGCAGAGTGAAAGGGAAGTTTATCAGTGTTTTTAAAAAAATAATAATAATTATTATAATCCAAAATCCACTTCTCACCCAAACACAAAGCAATTATCAGGGCTATGTTGCAACGAGTGTTAAAATATCTCATAATTGTGTTCATGCCCACTGTCAACTTTACTGCTACCATGCCGGGCCCCAGGTTCTTTGATAGAATGATTTTTTTTGACCAAAGATATGAAAGGCAGAGACTAATTGGACTACTTTAGATATTAATTGAAGGACCATCCACCCCTGCTGTTGTGAACCAGGCAATAGTGACTAATACAGAGTGTGAGACTTGTGAAATGCCAGTCCTCACTGCCTGTGAGTGTAGGAAGAATACTCTGCCTATCTAGTTTGGCAAAGAGTTATGAATGTATGCTTAAATGTTGCCCTATTTTTTCCTTAATTTCTGTCACGATTAAAACATGCAATTTAATATCTTAATGTGGGACTCTTTAATGCCATGTTCAAGTCTCATTAACATTCATTTGCTGAAATCCTGTTGCTTAGTGTGGTAAATTGTAAGTAGAGGAGGCCCATTGAATCACTGGAACTCACAGAGGCGCTGACGTGACCATGAACCCCATGAATTCAATGGGCTTATTTCAGGTGCAACTTAAACTAAGCAACAGGATGTCAGCCATTGTATCAGAATTCTGCAGTGCTTTATTTTAAGCATTTATACACTGATCTTCAGCCAGAAAGGTTTACGCAGCAGATTGCACATCAATAAAAACAACAGTTCCAGATATCAAGCCTACAAAACTCAAAAGACAATGCAAAAACATAATTGCATTTCATCAGCAAGCTTTGATCAGCAGGTTAATCAAAAGGGCACTTATTTTGAAGTTTTGTAATATGTAAATGCATTTACATTTAATTAATACTGCTATTTTTATACTGCATTGAGTATCCTAATTATCATGAATATATAACATCTATTTCTGCCCTAAGTGCTGTATACCAGAAAACCTTCAACGCTTTCTTTCAGGATGGACAAGTCCAGTGAAAGTTATACCAGCTCCACCTAAAATAAAAGAATGTTTCTCACCTCACACATTTGTGTTTTCTGTGGATTCAGATGTTAAGGTAAATTTGTTCATTGCTGCTGTTTCTGCTAATTGCAGAAGCATGAAAGAGTTTCAGATCTGTATCAGTGTATATTCCTGTTTCAAAGTTGCTGTGATGTTTAAGAAGGGGGCGGGGATATGGTCAGAATCCATTTGGAGGAAGTGACACTGCTCAATGTGGGTGATGTCATCAGCCATTCTAAGGAAATTCAAAACTTCCCCTCACACCAGGTTCCAAAATTTTATAGGGATCCCCTTTCTCCTAGGAAGCCTACAGGAGGCACAGAATAGGGATGAGAAGGATTTAAAGCTATAAAATCACTGCCACTGGTCACAGTCCCATCAGCAATTTTTTTTTACAATCTCATCCCATAGCTTCTTAAAACTTCGTAGGATGAAGGAGATTGCTGGGGATCCTCAGAGCTGGGGGTGGGGGGGAAGTTTTTAATTTCCCAAAATTGATGGTGATATCACAAGAGATCATTGTATAACATACAGCAGCAGGATTCCAATCCGTAAGTAATGTAAATTTTAAAACATATGGCATGACTCAAATAATAGCTGCTACTTTCTTGACAGTAAAGAGGTATGGCATGAATAAAGAGGCAAACCTTGATATTAGGTGAAAGTAATGCAGTAAGTAGCCATGTTAGTCTCTTGTAACAATTTATACTACAAATAGTAATGTTAAAGTACTGGTATAGCCAGACATCGGGTGAATTATTCTTATTAAACATAAAGTCAACTGGAGCTGGAAAAAAACTGAGTTGATGTTGCTACTCTCTGCTCCCAAGGGACTACATGGCTGCTTGTGCTAGATGTGCCTTTTGAGTACTGTAATGGTTAAGTCTAAAAGCATATAATGGACCCTTAAGTATCATATGAAGAGTAGGCTGAGGGTAGATGCCATTGCCAGCTACCAGTAAGACAATCTGCCTAGTTCATGCCTTGCCTAGTTCACGTTCTGCGGAGTTCCCTGTACTGGCCATGTGCAGGCAACTCCACACACTGAGGAAGGAAGGAATATGAATATATAGCAAGATTTGGGCCTTAGTACCTCCCTACCATAATTCAGAAAATTTATTTTAAACAAAATTACTTAAGGTTATGTTTCAAGATCCCCCAAATCTGTATTCTCGAAGCATGGACTGAGTTCCTACTCCAGTCCTCTGAAGATGCCGGCCACAGAGACTGGCGAAACGTCAGGAAGAACAACCTTCAGAACATGGCCAAAGAGCCCGAAAAACCCACAACAACCACCCCCCAGATCTACTGACTTACTCTTTTGTTATGGGTGTATTGTTGTGATAAGGGGGAGATGATCTGTCACTGTGATTGATGGGTGTTGTTAGCTAGTCTGACATAATATTATGTTAATAATAATTACCATACTAATTAACATAATATTATGTTAGATTACACAGGGAAGCCATTGAAATCCACAAACATCAGCACAGCTTCAACAAAAAAGAAGAAAGTTTAAAACTCAACAAAGCCTGGCTCCCAGCACTGAGAGAAAATACAGCCTGCAAAAAGGTCAACGAACTCTACCCAGCCACAAGGACCGCTGATCACTGCACAAAATAGACTAGCTAACGAAACTCACAGTGACATCGTCTCTCCCCATTTATCCCAACAATACACCCATAACAAAAAAACACCCTGATCACCATAATCACCCAGTCTCCTGAAAAGGACAAAAAGCTGATCCCACAGCTACAAAAACTTAACTATCCCACACACTACACCATAACACAGACAGAGTTCTAACTCATGTCCCCTGAAGATGCCAGCCACAGAAACTGGCAAAACGTTAGGAAGAAAAACTTCCAGAACACAGCCAAACAGTCTGAAAAATCTACAACAACCATTGTTAAACCTTCATTAGTAAAAATGAACTTCATACAAAAACTAGTACCTACCTCCCACTGGAAGGGAAGCTGTTCATCTGGGAAGCCTTTACATGTTAATTTTTTCTGTGCTATGCTGTCTTAAGGTCCAGAGAGCTAAGAAAAAAGGTGGTAATGATGCACAAATATACTTCAGGAGTTACACAGTTTGCAAAATAATCCATCTGAACTGATAATATTTGCATTTCTTTTATGCTGGTCATCTGTTGCATTTTCTTATGAAGTCAAACGATCCTTGTTCTGAGCCCTCTAGAGATGAAAGAGCCCGAAAATATATGTATACTTCAACTACACAGAGGTGAGCTTCTGTTTATGTTAAAGAAATCAATAGAGCCCAAAATATATGTATACGTCAACTTCACAGAGGTGAACTTCTGTTTCTGTTAAAGAAATCAATAGTATTGTTTTTAATTTAGTTCTCATCTTACGCTATTCCTACTGATGCTTACATCAATTCACAGATGGTAGTTGAGCAAGGTTCATTTATTTGTTGTTTCTCTTCAGCTGCAACTGTATAGAAATATCACATAATAATAGACAAGCTGGCTGGATATCTCAGTGAGATAGGTATTTGACTGTGAAGACAGAGATGGAGAGTTCAATTCCCCACAGTGCCTCCAGGGAGTAGAGCCAGCCTCAGTGGCCTTGGGCAAGTTGCGCAGTCCCAGGACGCCCCCAGAAGAAGGGAAGGGTAAACCACTTCTGAGTACTCTTTATCTAGAAGACCCAGAAAAGGGTTGCCACAAGTCAGAATTTACTTGATGGCACATCAAGTAAATTCTGAACCACCCCTATCTGCAGGAGCTATATCCACTGATTCATTTATCCGCTGCCTTGAAATACTAAATAAAAAACCCTCAGAACTGTTTATTTACTATTTTTAGTATAAATTGTTTGACAGATGTAAACATAATGTGATTCAAAGAAAAGTAACATGCCCAAAAACATAAGTACATGATAAAAGTGGGTTCTGATCCCCCAGACTGTTCCTGTGAACCCACAGTGTTCCTTTCACAGAAGGGAAACCAATTAATTCTCTCTGGATTTTCTTAAATTAATTTCTCCAAAATCAGTTTTTTCAACAACTAAATAACATCACACCCAAATCCACCACAATTTTGACCCCACATTAAGTTTTCTTCAATTCTCCATCCATTCTTCTCAACTTAATGTCCTGGACAAGGAATACTTCCAGCAACACATTCCATGGTCAAACTATCTGGGCACAACTGCCCAACTGGTTTGGGGGCCTGGCAGGGATGTGATGTTTGAGGGTCTTGTTGCCCCCCTTTCAAGGTCATCTGTATAAAATGGGCCACATGTGAGAATTATTGCATACATAAACTGCACATGAGAATTCTTGCTTGCAACTTCTCCTTGCCTTGAGATCAAGCAGAGTAACTGGTACTATGGGGATGAAGGAATTGGGATGAGGTTATGCTTCTCCCAACTACTTCTTTCAAATTCCTGGGCTGCTTTCTGCTTCCAGGTCAGCTGGTTGCCATCTGTTCCCAGTCTGGAAAGATTCCTCCCTTAAGGCACACTCCATGTCTTTCCTGTGGCAACTGTGAAGATATCCAGGATATCCCTGAAAGCACTAATTATGATCTCAAAAGAACTGGGAGAAACTACATGTATACCATTTGCTACAGTCCTTTTGTATGGTGCATTTGGATGAAAATCTGAGATCTGCATGACCTCAGACATTATTCATTTTCCACAAGCAATAATAACAATAACTCAGAAAAGCAACTAACAGAATTTTGCAGGAAGGGTCAAGTCTGGACGAATCCATAATGTAAATGTTTTCAAGATTTATTTACTCTCTTACAGGATATAAAAATACTGCTAGAGTACTTCACAATGAATTAAGGTTCTGAAGCTGAGTCTTACATTGCCCAATGCATTGAAAATCTTTTCTCTTTTATATATTAATGCATCAGAAGTTATGAAGAGTTTCCCTGGGACAAAATATTGCCACCAAAAGTCCCGCCTCCAGAATCAACACTAGAACCAAAGGCTGATAGTGTCTCCCAGTGTTTTGCAATGAAGCGATATGAACCAGTAGCCGAAATAAGCCAAGTGAGTTGACTTTATTACAGTGTTTTATAATAAATTACAACAGTGGTATGCAGTAATGTCCCATGTTTAACTCCTTGCTATCTTCAGTTAAAAGGATCCAAAACAGGTGGAAGAAGCTCAGTCGGATTAGACAGTACTAGTCTAAACATGCCAGTGGTCTGGTTTGGTAGAAGATATTTATAAATAATAGAAAAACAAAAAATGTTAAAATACTTTTGCTGAATTGTTCTTAGTTCCTCCAGCTGCCTGACTGTATGTTATTGTCTCTGTTACAATGCTCAGTTAGATTCAGACTTAGGTATACTAAACTTCATCAGAATGGGGCATAGAGGAGTCATGATTAATATATCCAGCTTATTTAAACCTAGAAGGTAGGTTATACTGGATTTTCTGATTAAAAAAAAAATTCAAACAGCCACAACAATGCCCAAATCATGAAACTTTAAACATGAATTAATTTCTTGTTACCCAGGCAGAGATTTATAATGAAAAGAGGTCATCCAAGTCCATGTAGAACGCTGCTTCTGTCTTTCAGTAGCTGAATACAAAGGCAGTTAGAACAAAGGCAGTGATACACATTTCTAGACTCAGGACAAACTTGTTCACACTTGTTCAGACTTCTACAAACATATTCAGACTTGTTTGCACCTTCAGCAATTCTATACTTACTCATTTTTTTCTGTAGTTCTTCATTTTTCTGCTGATGTTTCATGACACCAGCATTGAATATCTGAAAATGTCATTATAAAAAAAATAACACCTTCTACCATACTTTGCTGAAGACTGCAGACTTCAGCAAGAACTGTCTTTCTGGATGGTTCTACTGACATTGTCTGCTTTCTGTGAACCAACATTTTAGGCTTTGCTCTGGCCTAGATATATGCTTTTCTTTATGCTTTCCAAAATGTTCCCACACAAGGCATCCTGTTCCATGATAAAGCTAGCTATTCCAGATGCAAAATATGATCCTTTCTAGCCCAACACTCACCTGTTTTTCTTCCCTGTATGGTCAGCAGTTCCAGCAACAGAGCATTTGGGGCCTCCTTCTCAGACCTTCTTTAACAAAATATTTATTTAAGGTAAAACGTCCTTAAATGGCCTTCTGTGCTACAAAACTGAGCCTTTTCTAGCATTTTAGTTATTTCAGTTAAGAAACGTCTGTACAATTTGGGACACACAGCCTACTAACAGCAGGACTTGTAGGGGCTTGGTACAGAGTAGGCTGCTTGGGGCTTCAGTAAAAGTGAGATAAATTTCAAATAATTTTTTTCTACATTGGAAAGAATAATGGAAAACCATTACCATTACTGATGGGCACAAATTAAAAAACAAATCACCTGATTCATAAAAAATTATTAATTCATTGATTCATATTCATATGACTCAATGTATTCACCGGTGGCATTGATTCGTATTTGTACAAATGAATGCCCCTGATGAATACACATCAATGAATTTTAAGTGATTTTTGATTCATTGATTCAGTTGGCTATAAAATAGGGTGGGCAAGCACCTAGAGACACCAACATTTGAAGGAACCTTCCCCTGACATTTCTCTACAACCCTTCCACGTTTGGTGAAGATTGTGTTTCCCCAAGCCAGCTTCTAAAGGGCATTTTCCTGAGGGGACCCAATCTGTGGGTGTATAACTTGGATGTCTGAAATCCAGTTTTCACCAAACTTGGAGGAACTGTAGAGGGGCATCACTAGAAGCTGCTCTGTGATATTGGTGTCTCTAGGTGCCTGGGGAATGGGACTTTCCTGGGGTGGCCCTCCTTGTGGGTGTATAACTCAGTCATCCAAAACCAAACTTTACCAAACTTGCAGGGTTTGTAGAGGAGAGTCAATGAAAGCTTCCCTGTGATTTTGGTGTCTCTAGATTCTTGGGGTGCATTTTATAGGGTATTAAAGTAAAAAAATGAATTGACAAATTAATTTATCAGAAAAAACTGTAAATTTGTAAGTCGTCAGCCTTGATTAATCATGAATCGAAGCTAATCACAATTCTTCTGATTCATGCCCATCTCTAATTACCATCATTGTTTATTGTTAATTATACACAAAGCTAATGACTCCAAGAAGTATTCTAATTATACTTTTAGGTTGTTGGAGGCCTATGGGATAGGTTTCAGAGAAGATCCTTCACATCACCACACAAGCCAATTAATTTGTGAGTTTCATTTATTTCTATAATTTGAGAATATCTCTAGGCTCTTAAAAATCCTCTGTGCTTTATTTTAATGGTTCACACAATTAAACTTTTACAGTGACATAAGACAAGATTTAGCAACAAGAATGTTCTTTAATTTTGCCCAGTTCACTCTGGTTTAAAGTTACTTATCACCATTTGGTTTTGTGTCATTTTAGTTTGATTGGATTCAACCAATCACTTCTATTAGCAGTAAAGAGCCAGTGAATTTGGCAGGTACAATGAACAGGTGACTTCTGGTGATCTGAATCCATGTCCACTCTGCCTGGGGAAAGCCATTCATGGGAATTCATTTCTCAGCTAGAGTTGTCAAAGCTCACTTTAGGAAAGGCAGGTTATAGGATGCCATCCAATCTCTGTTTTTTCAGCTCCTGTTCAAGGATTTTCCAGCCACCTGAAATGCTTGTTGAGTGAGTAGCAATTCCCCAGATCTAGAACAACTAGTTAATGCCAAATCCCTGTAGCTTCTGGAAGATGCAGAGGAAGGTAGCACTAGCAGGAGAAATACATCAGCCAAAGAGGGGGCAAGAACATAATGATGAAAAACAATTACTGAAAATTCTCAGTGCATTTCAAGCAAAACCTTTTCCTCAGTAAAATAATTGTTGAAACCAAAAAGAGTTATGTTAGCTGAGGCTCTTCTGGAAGGGACATTGTTTACTCTTTGTTTTCCTTCATGAACAGATCATAACAGAAGTTCCCCTGAGCTCCAGGCAACATCCTCTTCCCTTCCCTTCCTGGATTTTTTTAATGCCCCCAATCTCAGGTTTGAGATTCAGTGTAGTATAGTGCAGTGGTCCCCAACCTTGGGCCTCCAGATGTTCTTCAACTTCAACTCCCAGAAATCCTGCCCAGCAGAGGTGGTATTAAAGGCTTCTGGGAGTTGTAGTCCAAGAACATCTGGAGGCCCAAGGTTGGAGACCACTGGTATAGTGGACAGATAATCAAATGAAGACTCAGGAGACCTGGGGTCAAATCCTCACTTGAGCATGGAAGCTCACAGAAGTGGAAGTGACTTGACATCACATAACAATGCCTGGATTATTTCTGCAAGAACAGGTGACACCTTTTTTAGACCACTGAAAAATCAAGCAAACAGCAGACAACTAGCTTTCAATGCATTTACAGTATATTGTTTTTGGGGATCACACAGACTTTTTTCTAATTTTTTTCTGGTTTATTTCTAAAATCACTTTATACTGGCAAGGCATGGATATATGTGTCACCCTATGACTCATCCAGTCACAGTCTAAACATATTGCTGTCACTTTTCTTTGCTTTTGAAGATCCTAACACACACACACACCAAAGTTTATAATGCTTCCAGAAGCCACAAAAAAGAGTAAATGTGAGATAATATGACAAATTTTTATATATACATAGCATCCAAATACACAGACAGTGGCTGGTTGGTTGGTTGGTTAGTTAGTTAGAAAGCTGCAAATAGTGTGAGTCAATGTGGTAGGTTATCTCAGTCTTATGTCTGAAGAAATGGATTTCATCCACAAAAATCACATTAAGATTTAACAGACAGTCTTTAAGGAGCCACAATCTTTTTGTCTTTGTAATTTGTTCTTGATTTTTTTTATTTTCTTTTGTTTTTGCCTGAGATGCTTGCACAGGATAACATGACTACCTCTTCTGAAAATGTCTCCTTTGACCGTGGGATTCCATCCAATATTTCTTAAACTTTCTTAAGTCCAGAGTACATATTAACTACCCTCAGCTTTCCCTTTCTTCAATATAACAAATCACAAAAGGATGTGGTCAGCTCCACTCAGGGTCCCCACCACTTCTGCCTCATTGACCAGTTTTGCCTCATTGGTGGGGATCTGGTCTTGTATTGCTAATTCCCTTATCACTTTTTCTACCTTCTAGAATATGAAATTGTTAGGTAAGCAATTTGTTGGACTTAGAGCAGAGTTGGAGTTCCAGTAGATCTCAGGATGGGTAAAATCTCCCTTTACTGCTCTCTCTCTCTCTCTCTCTCTCTCTCTCTCTCTCTCTCTCTCTCTCTCTTTTTCTCCTTTCTGAATGCTTGACAATGAGATCTAGGAAGGCATCAACCAAGTCTTTAGTCTGTTTGTAGATTTGTAACAGACCCCATCTCCATTAGTTTTTATCCTCTGCTTTTATTTTTATCTAAATGCTTTCAACCAGCCTTCTATTCTTCACTTAAGGGATCACCTCACATCCTATACTGTATATATATTCTACCGGCCTTTTTTTTCTGTTTAATCTTTTACTTCTGAGTAGTTATATCCTTCTATCACTATAGTTTATCCCATATCAATTGACTAAGTTTCTGTAATTTGTAAGATCATATTTGCCCTCTTGTTCTAAGCATTTATATTCATTATACACATTTATATTAAAAGGTGTCTGATGTTTATATTTAAATTAATTTTTAATTGCTGTTCAAGTTTACATAAAAACCTTATCAGTCCTGAGTGAAAGGAAAAAACAAAAACAAAAAACAAACCCTCATCTGTGTTATTAAACCTCCATTCCAGCTTTCCCTTGTGATGGGGTTCATGATCTTGCTTGGGCAGCCCCTGAGTTTGGGCGGGAAAAATAGTCAGAGGCATCTCAGAAGTTTGAACATTCTTCTTTTTATTATTCAACAAACTCAACTTGACAGATTCAAAAGGATCCATCAAACTTAACTCTGGTAATATTCTATAACTTTTAACTTTAACATCTGGAGTTATCAGATCACTTCTCACAGAGGGGCCGGACCAAACCGCTCTCTGTCCGTTATCGGCCTCAGCGGAGTACTCCTCACGGCACAGGCTGTCCCACAGCAGGGGTGTCTCGCCCAATCCCCCTCGTGCAGTTGGTGGGGAAAAGAGGGACTGGGACGGATCACTCTCCACCCCCCACGCTGATTGCGTGGGTACACAACCACGGTCCATTCCAGAGGCTCAAGATCTTCCCCCTTCATGCAGTAATCCTTCGGGTCAGGCAGTAACCCACCTCCAAGCTGGAGATCTGGAAAGTCCTTCAGCAGTCCATGCCATTCTCCAAATTCACCGCTCAGCTCGGTCTGCACCGCACGATCCTTCCTCTCAGGTATTTCCCCACTAGTCACAATTCTGAATTCCCACGCATTTGCTCCCTCACTTATAACCTCCTCCCACACAATTAGATAATGCTCCTCCCCTTTATCCTCTGCTAGACACACCTCCACGGACCCCTTCCATGCCGTGTCACTCTGCTCTATTTCCTCTAACACTCCCTCCATGCAACCTTGACTCTCCTCCGGCTTCTGCTCTATAGAGGACAGCACACTGGCCTTCTCACCTTCACACCCCTGTTTTAAATCTTGAAGAGAAGGAAACAGCTGCATGAATTCTTTTACACAGGACCTGCTTTGGTCAAATAAAGTAGCTACATGTTTGTTTATTCACATAGCTAGCTGGTTTTATTATTGATCACTCAAGTCAATAGCTGCTACTCTTTTTGTTTTTACAAAATTTCTTCACCATCCCCTCCCTGTCTGATACTAATTTAATGTATTGCTTAAGAAACATTTGTGCAAAAACCCTCACACCCCTGTGAAGCACATTGCCATTTATGTTGAAGAATGTCCTGCCTTAACAGATCGTTTCATTGATTGTTACATATTGATGCAAGTCTCTGTTATGGAGGCACCATCACCAACAACTAGCCATCATCAACAAAAGAAAGCAGCAGTCAAAGCACTCTTAACTGGGATCTCAAGGAACTATTCTTCCAGGTGAGTCCCTGATCAGGGAAAGATAAGGAGAAGGCAAAGCTAAATTGCAGCCTCAGAAGATGTTGTTTTAGACAGATGAGTCAGGAGATCTTTTCCCATTTTTTCTTGCTCTGAGAGATGGGACTTCTGGAAAGGGAGGAAACTTGTTGCTTGAGGACTTCATCAGGAAGCCTTGTGGTTGTTGTTATAATGTGTCATCAAGTCACCTCCAACTTATGGCAACCCTATGAAAGAGTGATCTCCAAATTTCCTGTCTTCAACAGCAGTGCTCCATTCATGCAAACTCAATCCTATAGGGACTTAATCTATCTTCTATTTTGTCTTCCTTTTTCCTTGCTACCTTCAATTTATCCTGGCATTATTGTGTTTTCCAGATATGCCCAAAGTAAGAAAGCTTTAGTTTCAGCATTTTTGCCTCCAGGGATAGTTCAGACTTTATATGCTCTAGGACCCGCTTGTTCATCTTTCTGGCAGTACAGGTATCTGAAAAACTCTCCTCCCGCAACATGTTTCAAACAAATCAGTTTCTTTTCCTGTCAGCTTTCTTCACTGTTTTGTTTTCACACCCAAATATAGTGATCAGGAATTCAAGAGTTCAGATTATCTTGACTTTGGTCTCCAGTGACACATCCTAACACTTGATGATCTTTTCTAGTTCATTCATTGTTGCTCTTCCAAGTTTCACTCTTCTTCTGATTTCTCTGCTGCAGTCTGTATTTGGATTGATGACTGAACCAAGGTAGACAAAATCTCTAGCTATTTCAATTTCTTCATTGCCAGCATTCAGGTTGTGTAGTTCTTCTGTAATCATGATTAATTTCTTAACGTTCAACTGAAGTCCTGCTTTGGCACTTCTTTCATTTTCACAAAAATTTGTATCAAGTCATTGTTGCTTTCTCCCAGTAAGATGGTGTCATCTGCAGATCCTAAATTATTGATGTTTCTTCCACTGATTTTCACTCCTTCTGAATCTAGTCTGACTTTCAGTGTGATGTGTTCTGCATGCAGATTGAATAGATAAGGGGACAAAATGCATCCTTGTCTAATAATACCTTTGTCTACTTGTCCAAAATATAGGCTATGCATCAAAACAATGAAGTGGTCTGATGTGTAACACATTTCTTCCAGGATAACAATTTTTTCCAGAACAACCCATAGCTTGTCATGATCCACACAATCAAATGCTTTGTTGTAGTCCATAAAACATAAACTGATCTTCTTCTGGTGCACTCCAGCATATACTCTATTTGTAATATGATCTTGAGTGCCTCCTCCCTTTCAGAGTCCAGCTTGAACCTCAGGCATTTTTTTCACCATGAAATTCAGCCAATGGACAAATACTGTATCTCCTATTCCTACTTTATGATAATGACAATGTATTTCCATGTTTCTCCTTAGAATAATGAAAATTAGAAACATAGCTTTATGAAACAAATTAAGGCTGAAACTATTAAGAGATCAACTTCTGTATCAAATATTAAATTTCTTGCCTAGGAAGCTCATGAATACATAGAATGTATACTGTATAATGTGCTACATATCTAGCATTTTCTTACTAAGTGCCTGCCCGATGATTTTGGCTAGTGTGCTCAGGAAAGGATATTAACATCAGAATAATCACATATAAAAATCAAAACAAAAGAGCAGATTATTAATCTGTTACAGGAGTAGGCAATCATGGTGGGCCTGGGGCTAACTTTATACACAGTGGACCCTTTGGGTGCTGCAAAGATCATGAAAAATTCAGAAATGAAGCTAGGAATTGCTAGATGTCCAGTTGCAGAAAAACAGGTATTTGGGAGTTTAAATGGTGGGAGGAGGTAATACAAAATATTTAAAAGGTGAGGAGTCATGCCTGGAGGCTTCCAGAAATAGTATTTTCCTTTTTTAATTTTTTTAATTTTTTTATTTTGGGTCACCAAAAATTGGGAGGGTAGGTTTTAGATGTTTTGGAGCTGCAAAAACAATTCTCAGGGACTGCATGTTGCCCTGGGGCTGCTTGTTGCTCACTCCCTGATCAATATTGCATCTGTTTCCTTTATGCCTGACTTCTGTGCTTCCTGGAGGGGCACTGGTCTGGCCACAGTGACAAACAGGACACTGAGCTACATAGACTCTGAGGCCTGCCTCAGTGTGGTAATTTTGTGACATTTTATAATCTGCCATTCCAGATCTTTTATTTGCATTTCCCTTATCAGGTATGTCTAGGTCTTGTTATAATCTCCCACTTGTGGATTTTGAGTTGAAGGTGACATTAATGTTTTCTTCTCAATGCCATTAAGAGATGCAGAGTTCCAGACTGGGCTGGAATCATTGTAGTGGGAGGCTTAAATCCCCTTTATTGTATCCAGGGTTCCAACTGGGATGGGGTGGACTATCCTCTATTTACTTTAAGAACATAAAACACATACAACAGAGCTTATATTTATAAGAAATACTTTTAACTAATTCATGGTGTGTTTCAACCTTAACAGTGTTAGTCCAAGTTCTCGAACTGAGCATCTCCCTTTATACACGTAAGTTTTTTTTTTAAAAAAAAATACATTGTATAAGCCTTTTTATTTTAAGTATGAAATTTTATCTGCTTAAAAATGTATGGATCTCTCCAGTCTGTCTGGGTCTATGAAACTGTTAATTGTGGCTTTCTCAGAGGTGATTGATTAGCCATTATGGCAAAAGGGATACTGATTCAAATCACAGAAAGTTGGAGTTGGAAGGGGCCTATAAGACCATCGAGTCCGACCCCCTGCTCAATGTAGGAATCCAAAATCAAAGTATATCCAACATATATCTGTATAATTTTCTCTAGCATGCCTCCAGTGTCAGAACACTGACTATCTTCCAAGGTAATTGGTTCCAGTGTTGTATTGTTCTAACACAGTGGTTCCCAAACTTGGGTCTCCTCCTCTGTATGACAACATTTTTAGCATTTGTAAAGTGTTATGTCTCATATAAAATAGGCCATTAGTCTAATACAGCACTGCTCTTCTTATGTGGACCATATATTTAAAAACATTGGGATGAATCCAGAGTTAGTTGTATTTGTAGATTGCACCCATGGAAATTAATGGGACCTAAATTAGTAATGAGAAACCAGTCCTATTGATTTCAATAGGATATGCACTAGCAACTGTTCAAACCAGACCCTGCTCATCAATGTAAAGAATAAAATGTATTTTAAAACACCAGAAACAGGAAAGCAACTGGGGAAACAACTGGAAAACAAGGAACAAAAGTGTTTCTAAGTCATGACTGGGATACTACAGGATGATAATTGTTTGTATCAGTCTTCACTGTAGATAATAATGAACATATGCTTGTCCCCAAGATGCCCCCCTGTGGCATCTAACTCAAATGAGGGTGCTGAGAGTTAAAGTTGTACTGACAAAAATTAACAAGTCTCCAGAGCTGGATGTTGATTGTTACTTTTAAATAGTGCCCGAACTACTTAGGTATGTAGGTAAAACCAGACTCCTCATTAGAGAAGAATCCAGATCTCTTCTCTAAGTTCCAGGTGTAGCAGAATGCACCATTACCTCTGCATTTTGTCTGAGTTCAAGATTCAAGGAAGCAAGCAGGTCACTCTCTAACCTGGCACTGAGTTTATGAAGCTCTGAGTGTCTCCAAAGCACAGCATGACACTGTAGGTAAGAAGAAAGGCATGTGTACCAAGATGAAGAAGAATCTGTCAGTGTTGAAAACCTGGCAAAGACATTTTTTGATAGCCTTGAATGACTCAATAAGACAGAGTACCTGGCTACGGAGTCAGGATCAGAGGTTCACGTCCTCACTAAGCCTTCCAGGAGAAGAGCCAGACTGCTCTTGAGCAAGCGACATGGTCCCAGAATACCTGTCGAAGAAGGGAATGGTAAATCATTCTGAGTCCTCCATGCCTAGAAAACTTTGGAAAGAGTCATAACTTAGAATCAAGTTAATAGCATGTGATTATTCTTATTATGGATGCCACAAGGGATATGCCAAGATCCTAAAAAGGATCAAGATCACGTATAAATACAATTAATGGCTTAAATCCTGTTGCACAGCTCCACATGAGCAACAGGGATTATATCATCAGTAGCATCAGCAAATCACCATTGATTAAAGCCTGTCTTTGGCACTTTCAGAGTGCATGTGACTTCAATCCAGTCTGCATGAGTCACATACACCTTGAAATCATTTTTAATCAACAGCAATTTGTCTTTTATTAGTGGCAATTTGCTGCTGCTCCTGCTACCATCACTACTGTGCACAGGGAGCTGTTCTAGGCTTGCACAAGTTATGATTTACTAAGTCAAACACATTTCTCCCCTAAAGAACCTTGGGTTTGATAAACTTCCTGTTTTTAATGCTTGCCTCAAATTGGAAAGACAGGATTGTCATCCCGGTGCTAGGTTACAATGTAAAATGGAATCCATTCAACACAGGTTATGCTGGCCTGGTTTAATTTGTCACTTTCCCCCTTTGGTTGAATGTATAAATAAAAATGTAAAATGGAGGCAATGAAAATCCCCTGTATTTCTCATGTTATTTTCTTCTGTACTGTATTCTCGAAGGCTTTCATGGCCGGGATCTGATGGTTGTTGTGTTTTTTCTGGGCTGTTTGGCTGCATTCTTAAGGTTTTTTTTTTCCTAACGTTTTGCCAGTTTCTGTGGCTGGCATCTTCAGAGGACAGGAGTCAGAACTCTGTCTGTGCTCTGGTGCAGTTTGTTAGATAGTATTATTTTCTTCTTTCTCAAATCTGTCCGTTTTATAAATGTGGCCAAATGTTGCTATCCATTTTTTTTCCTGCAAGCACTGCCTGGCTTTCTTTTCATTCTGGGACAAGACTGCACACAGTACAGTTCTTCTGTTGTGCACATTTTTAATAAATAACCAAAAACCTGGGAGCTTGCCTCAGTGGCCTCAGCCAGCTGTCTTATAAATTATATACAGATGCCTTTTCTCTCGCCCCCCGCCCCGGTTTTCATCCAAACAGAGGCTTCGTTGGTGCAGAGAATGTTGAAGATCTAGACAACCCCAATGTAGATGTAATTATCCACAGCAAAGTTCGACGTGGCAAGCCACATTATACGAAAACATCCTAGTATGTAAACCACTGTTTCCTTACTTATATAACAAATTTGTAAAAATTTTGAAAACATATAGGGAAAACCCAAACACATTTTGTTATAGGTAGATAGAAATTTGGGGAGAGAAGACTGAAAAATATGCAGTGCTTTCTTTCAAGTACCCTGACCTGTGAGTTAGAGACCTGCTCGGTCTTTCTGCTTCTGACCAGCACAGATACCATGTTCTTCAAATAATGGAGAATAACCAGCAGAATGAGTGCCAGCACTTGTTTGTAGAAAATGGGGAAAGCCAACTGATCCTATATCCCTAGAGGTGAAACCTAATACTCTTACACCTCAGGCTTATTCTTTAAGACCCCATCTCAGACTTCAGTCTGTCTTCAGATCCTACAGATGTAACTTTGGACACAGATAGTTTTTGGCTTTTCTGTTTCTCTACCCAACATAAGGGCTGAAATGTTCTGCCCATGAAGGATTCTGGAGAACTCAAAACCTTGCTTTTGTATATGTTCTGGTGGTCCAGAACAGATGGTATCCAGTTATGATTTTTGACTTTACAGGTCCTGAAGTCACTTTGTGTTAAGAACATAAAATGTATTGCATATTACTTGAATTGTTCATTAACGTATGCAAAGGCAGCTTGTGATCCAATTGTGGTCAGGTGATCCCAGTCCAAACTGTTGGAATGAGGCACACCCATGCTTAGACCACCTTTGAGATAATCAAGGTTGCTATATTAAATTCCAAGAGAAGACTCCTTGGAAAAGACCTTGATGTTGGGAAAGTGTGAAGGCAAGAGGAGAAGGGGAAGACAGAGGATGAGATGTTTGGACCGTGTCATCGAAGCAACCAACATGAATCTGACCCAACTCCGGGAGGCAAGTAGAAGACAGGAGGGCCTGGCGTGCTCTGGTCCATGGGGTCACGAAGAGTCAGACACAACTAAACAACTAAATGACAACGACGATACTAAATTCAAGTATATAGTCTATCCAGACTGCCCATGCTATTTGCATGAGTTGGCACACAACAAGAGATACAAAAAGCAACTTGTTAAGTAGCAATGATTTGTGACTGTGTCACACCATTGTAGTTATCCCAGTGTAACTGACAAATAGGATTCTAGCCACTGTCTAACAAGACTCATTTTCTGAAGTATCACTAGCCACAGTTTCTGCTTCTTCTGTTCCTTCATTTTTTTCCTCATTCTCAGTTATATCAGTTTATTTCTTTATCTGGCTTATATTCAAATTTCCAAACAGGGATTCACTGCTTTCACATGCTGAAGAAAATGAAGGAAACTGACATGGGTGAAAAGCAAGAGTCAGAGTCTGTGTCATGCAAAGGTCTTGCTGACTATGTTGCAGATGGGATCTCTTGAACATTGACTTTTAATTGTGCTTCAAAACTGTTTTGTGGGAGTAAAGGTTCTTCCCCTTAGTAGTAGTAAGTACCATTGTCTTATATATTTGAATAGCAGTTCTATTCATCATCTTAAAGCAAAACAAAAAGTTCCCTAATACTTTCTGCCATTTTTTTTCAGGAAAAAAAATTAAAGAGTCTTTTTAAAATGGGAAGAACAGTTGTCTACTATTTCCCTATCCACCTTTCTGTGTGGCAGATAAATTTATTCGGAGGCTGAATAAAAGTGCACATATATAAACTATGCATCATAGGTATATTTAGGGTATACAGTATGTCAGCTGCCACCAGAAGATTGTCTCTAGTATTTCTACATGAGCCATTTTTCTGGTGTACGTACTGGTAGGTAGTAGCAAGGAGGTGATTCTAGTGCTCCCCCATGGGCTGACTTTGGGCTTTTGTTCATTATTAATTATGCATGGCAAACACTGGAATTATTGGTTTAGACGGTCCTCCTTTTCTTTTCAAAGGCAGATTATATGTGTATATATATGGCACTATGAAATTGGCAGGGACGTATTTTAAAAATAAAAATTGGCAATATTACAAGGCATACAGTCACCACATTTTTACTTAACTAGAAGCCACATGGAAATACATTCAATATCCCTTTTTCTCTCAGTCTCTGTCTCTCTGTCTCTGTCTCTGTCTCTCTCTCTCTCTCACACACACACACACACACACACACACACACACACACACACACACACACACACACACACACACACACACACACACACACACACACACACACACACACACACACACACACACACACACACACACACACACACACACACACACAAATTCCTAATCAAAGCACCTCTACATTAAGGTGTATGTATGACAGAGTGCCACTAGATGTCCTCTTAACATAAATATTCACACCTCTACAAATGTAAGAAACACTTAATTCCAGATTCAGGGAATCTGCTTAACAGTGCACACACTACAGATGTCACAAAATATTAGTAGTGAACTTTGCCTTAAGACAAAACTCTAAAAGAATATTTTGCTTCATTAGTTAAATTTACAAGCTGGTACTACTCAGCCCTCTCCCCCCCCCCTTTAAACTGAATAGAATATCTTTAAAACTCTTTGAAAACTCTGGTGGGTTTTTTGGAAACTTATTAAAGATTCTGCCATGAGAAGGTAAGAAATGACTGACAAGATTGATTTAATGACTGATGGCCCTATATGACCAACTAATCCTGCCCTATAATGGCTAACTGAAAGATGTAATTAGTTGGTATCTTTTAGATTGTACTTTGCAGTAACAGTTAAACTAATGTTTGTTAGTACTTTACAGTAGGTTGCAATGGAAATCTCCTGCTGTACCTCCCTTACCATGAAAACTCTATGATGAGACTGTCCAAACTAGATTAAAGCTGAAATGACATATAGTGGTTGATGCGCACAGAAGTGAAAGAAAAGTCCAATGCTGCACAATATTCACAATTGGAATGTGGAACATGAGAGGGATGAATCATGGTAAATGGAAACCATAAATCAAGAAATGAAACATATAAACATTGCAGTGCTTGGTGTCAGTGAACTGGAATGGGACATCTTCAGACTACAACGTTTCTATTCTGGAAATGGCAAACTCAGAAGAAATGGAGTGGGTCTAATAGTGAGGCAAGATGTAGCACAGGCAGTTAGGAGCTATAATGCAAGATCTGACTAAATAATATCAAGCAGACTCCATGGGAAACTATAAACATAAAAAACTATAAACATAATCATTATCCTACCAATGCTGAAGAAGATGAAACTGAAAACGTTTATACAAGCATCCAAGAGGAAATTGATAACTCACCAAATAAGACATGCTTATAATCATAGGTGTCAGGAACGCAAAGGTAGGGAACAAAGCAGAACCAAATGTTGCTGGAAAATTCGTCCTGGGGACAGAAATAAAGCAGGAGTATAACTCATAGATTTATTATAGAATTCTGTAAAGCCAACAACCTGTTTGTTGCAAATACATGCTTCGACCAATCTACCAGATGGCTGCACAAGTGGACATCATCCCTAATATAAAGCATGTTTTTTTCCCTTCCATCACAGACTCTCATGGAGTAACTCATATAGTTTGTGTGGTGGAAAAATGAAAGATATAGCTTTGATAATGAGGCAATATGAACAAATATCATACAATATAATGACAGTTGTAAAAAAAAGTTAATTTATAGCATGTTTTCTCAATGTGAAATAATCAGACAGTTTTGAAAGGAGATAAAAACCTAGACACCAGCTTGCTTGCATACCTGGTGGGGAAGAGGTGCAGAACAGCCAGAGTGGCATGGATGCAGTGTGTTTATTGTAAGTATATGTAGTAGACTACAGTGCATTTCATCATTTAATAAATTTGCAGCTGGTAGATGACATCAAATATTTTTTATGCCAGCATATAGGAGAAGCAAGTATGAGGGGGATTTGCACAATTACTAGCAAGAATAGCTTTACTGATGTGTGATAACCTGGAATTTTACTACATTAAACATCCAATTCATTCTTAGTTTACTTTCTGCAGGTTTGCAGGGGAATGTACATTTGGGAACTGTGCTGGGTAGACTGTCTTTATAAGGCTGAATGGGATGCAAGTTAATGCCAGCTTAGTAGGCACTAAAGGTCAGAAATATTGTTTCTAAAGAAGGAAAACAAATTGTTGTCACATCTTCAAAACTCTTTCATTTCTTGTACGGAAGAAGTGGAGTGTAAACTGTGAAAGTTCACACTGAAATAAATATTTTAGTCTTAGGTACCAAAATGTGTTGTTTTCATTTGTTGTTTCATTTTGTTTTTGTTATACATGCTGAAACAGACTAACATGTCTCCTTTGAAAATCTCTGCAGGGTATAATGAAATTCAAGTGTTCCAATTCCCATAGTTACCAAGTGTGAGCTAATTTCTAGTATTGCTGTACATTGTTGTTTAGTCATCAACTCGTGTCTGACTCTTCACTACCCCATGGACTAGAGCACGCCAGGCCCTCCTGTTTTCCACTGCCTCCCGGAGTTGGGTCAAATTCATGTTGGTAGCTTCGATGACACTGTCCAACCATCTCATCCTCTGTCGTCCCCTTCTCCTCTTGCCTTCACACAATGCAGATGGAGATAAAAGATTCAAATGTCTCTCAGATAATGAAATATGTTCACTTTTTTAAAAAACAACTAATTTGTTCATATTATTGCCCAAGATATAATATGACCTGAACGTCACATAACAAAACTTACCATTGTCCTATGAAAATTGAGGAATTGTTAAAAATTTGCACTGAAGAAGTAGACTGATATTCTTCTACTGCAGGAATGCAAGAATTTCCATCCTAGATTCATTTTCCCCTCCCCAAACTCTACATAGGTAAATTGTAAGCAGAAACATGTGCAAGCCATTGTTTTTGCTTTAATTACAGCTATCAGGAAGTCATTATTTCAAGCTTGTGCCTGCTTAATCAATTCCTCTTCTCCCTTTAACTTTTCCCCTTAGCTCTCCAAACACCTTTGGATACACTGGCAAGGTTCATTGGTCAACCACCCAACCAGTAAATTCTAATCTTCCACCAACATCACCAGCAATAATTTCACGAATGTATGGGTAAGTGTGAGGCATATTACTTAATTTGCTCAGATATGTTAGAAGGAAAATCTTAATTATGGTTATTTCATTAGAGAATGATTAAAAATTAGGTATGGCATTTGTTTGGTTTAGAAAAAAAATGGGATTGTAGCATTATAAAGATTATAAATGCTCCCAAGATTATTTGGCATCAGGACCTGCTTTCAGATTGTATTTTTTTTTGAAAGTTCTAGCCCCATTACATTTTTAAAAATCACTTTTAATGCTGTTGTCTCCTTTATTCCTATAAATAGTAGCTGTTATGAGAGCCAGACAAGATTGAGACCACAGCAAATGGAGAGGCATCTTATATCCCATATTTAAAAAGCCAAGATCTTTGCTGGCAGTGGCAATCCTCACCTAACTGAAAGTGCCGCTTTTGAGGAGAGAAGAATAATTTTCATTAGAACCACAACAGAGATTTAGACATCCTGTCTGTTTACCACAGCTGCAATCCAAATTCTCTGTGTGTGTGTGGGCACACAAACATATATGCTATTAAACATTCAACAGGTGCTTGGAAACGTTACCTTCTTTGATTGCAACTGCTAGAACCCCTCACCCAGAATGGCCATTATTTATAATGTACAGGTGATTCTAAGAGCTAAAAAAGTAAATTTCTGATATCTAGAAGGTAAGGCTTTCAAGCTCTGCGTTCAATGACTAGCTTAAAGTTAGATGCATTTTGTCATGAGCATCTAATCTAGAGAAAGTTGGATTCTCTTGTGACAAATCAGGTCCCCGCAACTGAACTGGCTAAAGTGGGCCTTCCCATCCCGTCTTGTCCACAGAAACCCCCTCTGCTATACAAAGGGTCTAGGATCTCTGTGGAAGGGTGTGAGTGGTGGTGCTGAGGGGAGGGGGAAAAATCCTGATAATCATTTGGAGGCAACTTTCATGAACAGAACCATTTTGTCTCCAGAAGGCAGATCCTAGATTCAACCCAACAGCCATAAATCTGTTCTCTTTTTACACCAGCATAGTACAATCAGCATAATGTTTGGTGGTCAATGGATGAAAGTTGCAAAATCAGCATAGACATTATTTTTGTTGGGTGCTGAGATGTATAACTCAAGACACAACAGATAATGTCTATGCTGACTTTAGCATTGCATCAGTTCATCATGGGCATTAACTAAGAACATTTAGGCAAATATTTTTATTCCTTCCTTCCTTCCTTCAGAAAGTACCCTCCATATACATGGTGCCTTACTTTAAATGCAACTGCTAATCTGGCATTGGATTTCAGACTAGATCTGGATATTTCCAGGGTGATTTCTTTTTCCTCCATATGATCTGACATATCTGTAACATTTACACTTGTAGTCCAAAATACTGATTTCTTCAAGCTCTCATTAAGAATGTTCTGGTGAGCAACCAGCTCTTGAATTAATCCCAAAAGATGTGTCAAAGAGTTCATAAAACTGGTAAATATCCAAAACTACTTGGGACAGCATTATTTATTTATTTATTTATTTA